TGAAAAATTAAGTGCCATTTGAAGTAAAATAGGGACAAATGGCACGGTTTGAGCCAATTTGGCATCCCTGCTTCCAATAACTTACAAATATAAAAAGGTAAAATATCGAGGGCTTGAATTCATTAATACCCTCTATCTGCAATTTGCACAAAAACTATTTTGTGATTTTAGAAACCATGTGGGACTTATTACCTCGTTATATAAGGTAACATAAATATCACTGATGACAGTTAAAGCTTGGGTGGATTTTTATATTAGAATCTCATCTTTGTGAAAAATGTGCAGATAGGGTATTATTAAATATAAGCCCTCTATGTTTAAAATATATAAAAATTTTATTTCAACGTATACAACGCGGGCCGCCGCGAAGCTAAGCAAATTCAATGTTTGAAAGAGAAATAATGTCAATTGATTTTATTTCGTTTTTAAAAAGGTAATAATGTCAATTGACTTTATTTCGCACCAGGGTGGGAAATAAAGTCAATTGACCTTATTTCCGTTGATCTTATTACCTGTCACCGGTTGATATTTGGAACATTTGTCAGCACCTAGGAAAGAAATATTCTGACCAAAAATGCACTCGCTAGGTGGCGCTAGGGTCGGAATATTGCTAAAAACTGCATTTTCTTGCCGATCTGGCTCATATTTAGAATACAATTTAGCTAATTGAAAATAAATAATTGGACTTAAAACTTACGCGATAGGTGGCCCTCTGCCCGAGTCGTCTTTATTAGCTGGTCAACTAATTGGACATTGCGATTTTTTATAAATTTTATCTGCATGCTTTTTAATATGTTGGAAACATTGCTGGAAAACCTTAAAATGTTTGCATGGAACCATGGCGAAATAAACAGGTGAAGTAATAAAAGAGCTTTCTCGCTTTACTTTCAGCCATTCTGCTGCCTTGTAGTAAAATTCTAAAGGCAATTTTTCAAATAAGGCAGTGTCAAAATCTTTTTCTCGCTCAAATTACGTCACCTGGTATAATTCCGCCATGGCATGGAACAAACAAAAGTTGCCGTTCCTGTTCGCAGCATATATGTAACACAGAGAATATTGTTTTGAGTTTTATCTTCAGTTAAAATTTCTGCATTACCAGCACTGGTTTCACCATATCCGAAATGTGAATTTCGTTTACGAAGACGAAGCGAACATGTAATACGAAGTAGTGATGTCAAAATATGTAAAATTTTACCTACTCTCATGAAAGGCGCAATAAACAGGTGAAGTAATAAAACAGCTTTCTCGCTTTATTTTCTGACATTCGGCTGTCTTATAGTCACATTTTATAGGCATGTTTTCAAATAAGGCAGTGTCAAAATATTTCTTCTCAATCTAATATTACTTCACCTGGTATAATTCCACCATGGGTGGGGTGGATGCAATAATGCTTTTTGTCAAAAGGTCACATATGTGCACTATTTTGCTTTATTACTCAATTGTTAAGCTTAAAAGTTGGTCTTATTGCTCAACGAGAAATGAAATAAAGCAAATTTGTGTTTTCCAGTTTCAACTGGGAAATAACACTTATTTGTGTTATGCCGTTTGTGTTATTTCATCCCATTTTCAAAATATCAGAAATATTCCAAAGTTTATTTTAGTTAAGTAGAAGTAATAAATGCCACTGGAAATGTGATCCATTATTGAAAGTTTACACAAAATCATAGGTTTTTCAATAAGTATAGAAAATCAACTGAAATATTTTGAGTTTCAGTAAGATAATAAATTGATTTCTGAACCCTGCCACACCCTACAGTAGACATGAAAGAATTTTTACAGTCAGAGATTTGCGGATATCCTCTGTGTTAATAAGTTACCATTTTTTAGAAATCCTTGAATGAATTTTGCCTACCTAGCTTGTTCACACGACGTGTGCGACGCAAAGATTTTAAAAATCTGATATCAAAAAAGAAAGTTATAGCAAACAAGTACGAAAGTCTAAGTTCGGGAGGAGCCGAACATTAAATACCCGGCGCAAGTATTTAATATATGACTTTCACCTTTCCGAAAGCTACCGCTAAATGGTAAGCCGGGGCGTATCAATTTTGAGTAAATTAGAGTCCTTAAATTTCAAAATTTTGAAGTTTCAAGCAGTTCAGAAATTTACCGTTATATGAAAAGCGGGATCAATTTTAGTCCGACTTCAATAATTTTCAACGTTTTGCTTTTATGTGGCAAGCACAATACCCATACCGACTTTGGTACAAATTGGTGGAACGGTTACCGAGATACATATATGTGATAATAAGTGGGCGGTGCCACGCCCATTTTCTAAACTTTTATCATAAAAATATTTCTTGGTAAAGAATTGTTACAAGCATTAATTTTGAATAAACTAGCTTTAATATTTACTGATTTATCGAAGATTTTGTATTTCTCTAAATTACCGTTGTATGGGATGTGGGCGTGATTATTGTCCGATTTTAAAAATTTTCGACCATTTGGTATGCTGTACCAAGGCCAACAACTGTGCCAAGTGTGAAAGACATTGGTGCAGCGGCTACGCCCATTTTCCAAAAATTTATAATATTCTTATTTTTCGCCTAAAATCTATTGTAAATATGAATTTTGAGTGAATTATCTTCAGTAGTTAATAAAATATCGCAGTTTTCGTATTTCTGAAAATTACCGTTATATGGGAAGTGGGCGTGGGTACAGTCCGATTTCACCCGTTTTCAATACCAACCTACCTTGGACAAGTGGAAACCTACATACCAAATTTCGTTGAGATATCTCAATTGTTGCTCGAGTTATCGTGTACACGGACGGACGGACAGACGGACGGACAGACAGACATGGCTTAATCGACTTCTCTGTTCATTCTGAGCATTTAGGTATACATTTTTCTATACCTATCTCGATTCGTTTTGGCTGTTACAAACAACCGTTATGTGAACAAAGTAATATACCCTTGTGCACAAGTGCGCTCGTGTATAAAAATGCAATTTGGCTGTTTAAGGGGTGCCAAAAAAAAATTGTACACCCAAAATTGTTTCTGGACACAAGTGTGCAAATAAAACTCACACACGCTGAACTTTTTTGTGATACGCCTTAGTATACATACCTATGTATGTATGTATGTAGATAGAGCAAGAGCAAGAATGATAGTATACAAGATTGTGCCAATATGAGAGGATTTTTGAGCGTAATTTCTGCGTGACGTCATCTTGGTGCAATTGCAAATGCCAAAACGCATATAAAAATATGTAAACAATGCAGAAAAATGTGTTAATTTTAATACTACATAGCCCAATTTCGCTGGAATCATTATATATACAAAGATTGATTAATTAGGAACACGTAGCAATAATTTTGGACATGTAGCCCTTTACGTAAGTACGATTTTTAGCACATGGAAAAATGGATGTATTAACAATGTTTGCAATTTCATGTAGACCAAAAGGAAGGTGTGCAGCAAAGTGAATTTTTGGACTCGCCATTGTAAAAAGCCATGCAGAGTGCACCACCATAACTCCACAGCTGTTGACTCCACAGCTTTTATTTGATGACTTTTGTACTATTTCCGAGAGGATGCATGAAACAAATATTCTATGTAAGTAAAACATAATTTAAGCTTAACTTTTAAATGTATAATAATTTGGGCACTGTTTTGTATTAGGTACGTAACAGCGCGGTAAGATGCCGCTTGAATTAGCGCCTGGTGACCTTATCGACTGGTGCATTACCTCATGCCAGCACTAAAAAGAATCAGGTACTAACATAAATAAGTAGGTAGTGAAGTTGATGTATCTATTTACTGTAGAAACTGCTTTTGTATGTATGCCATTGCCAGACAACTAAACCAGCAACTGTCGACATTCACCATGGAAATGTACATACCTACTACAATTCACCAAGGAGAGGCCAGCATGGTTCCATGTAGAAGCTCATAGCTCACACACATAGCACAAAGCTCAATTTGGTGTTTAATGCATCTCCTCGCTGGAAGAACTGCTCGCACTTTTTCGCCAGGTTTACGTCCGTAAGAAACGAAAAAAAAACTTATATCGTACGCATTCCTTTTGTTTTCACTATTACACTTTGCCACTGCACACTTCGTTTTGTTTTGTAATGTCTCAATAATTGTTTAAAACCACGCAGAAATATTAACACACAAATATTAAAATTGCTATTTGGTTTTTTCGTATGTTCACAATCAACAATTGCACCAAGATGACGTCACGCACACAGCTGATTCTGCCAAAATCACAAAGAGCGGATTAAGCTGAAATTAGTCAAGAACGTAAACGTACCGGTACGTAAAACCGAGTCAGCTGACACGATCTGTCATACCAGAGCGCCATGTAAATGAAAACTCAACATCGCAGAATTTTTCTGTAGCTGTAGCCCGTAGCGCAGAAATCTGCGGAATTTAGATTTTTCCGTGTCAGCAAATTTCTTTCTTTTATAGATGGTTGCCACTTCGTCAGTTTTGCAGATGGTAAACAAGTTATCATTTCCTATTCAAAATACGTTTAAAATATTTGAAATTTACCATTGAATAAGGTTTTTTGTTGAAAACTAAGTAGATTATATTTAGCTACGATGTATTGTAACACGAAAAATTGTAGTGGAAAGTGTAAGTTTATGAAAAGGCATTGATGAGTGGCAACACTGTAGTAAGCAACCCTGAGAGCTCCAGTAATCGACAAAATTCTGCGTATACAGACTGCGTTTAAGTATACGTTCTGCGTTCTTGACTAATTTCAGCTTTAGCGGTACCGCGATTGGCGCAATCTCTATTTCTCTCAATCGTGGAGCAAGAGCATATTTGGGGAAGAACTTGCAAAAACGAACGGGAAAAGTCTCTGATGTGAAATAGAGGCCGGCAAATAGTTAGTTAGAATTAGCGACTTGATAGCTAGTTTAACAAATCTGAATTTGTAAATAAATAAAAAATAATTTGTTAATTAATTTTTTTTATTTAAAATGTCAATTTATTATATTTTATAGTAAAGGTGATGTTATTATTTCAATCAAATAGGAAAGAAGATATACTCTTACTGCACGCTATTGACTGTTCCTTTAGTAGCAGGCTTTCTCTGTTTACTCTTCGATCCATCTTTAGAAAACGATTTACGGCCAGCCAACTTTCCTTTATTGGCATTATGTGTGGGCGGTTTTGGTTTTGCAAATTTCGGCTCTACACGCTGAAATAAGTCATAATTAAAATCCATACAAGCCTTTCCTGGAAATAAATAAAATCTTTTGTCAGCGGTGAATATCAAAAAATTGTTTTCGCATACCTGAGCACATTTCTTGACCACATTCGGTACACACCGCTAATCTAGTTTCCACAATTCCCGATTTGTTTTTGGCCTTTTTAACGCAATTGTTGAGCATAAACTCCCTTCTATCACGCATTTCTGTTTTCAATTGCGACTTAGCCATATCAGTCATTCGACTAAAGTACTCTTCTTCCAGTCTCGATTTGGGACGCAATGTTGTGAGCATTTTCCAATCAATAGGCACTGCACACAAGTCCATTATAGGAACATCCTTCATCTCGGATGGAACTGGATCTGCGTAAGTATAAATTACTGCACGCTCACCATTATGCTTCATTAATTTCCTGACTTCTTTCCTTGGAGTTTTAAATGAGAAGTCTTTTTCCTTAAACTTTATTTCATCTGCTCGTACTTTTATTGACCTCATTTTATAGTCTGGAACCTTTTCCATTAGACGCTTGAACTCTTCCTTGGTCTGAACAATGCTTTTACTGAGATCAAGAACTGGAACCACTGATTTCTTCTTTGCTAATAAGTCTTCTAATTTACTCATTGAATTAATATAAAAATTTGATACAACTCAAGTAAATGAATTTAAGATTTGAAATATTTGCTTATATTGATTAAATAATGGTTTCGCACATTTCGTTACCATGCCATCAATTAACGACGCTAGACGCTCTTGATGTTTTCAATCAATCACTATACCTAAAGGTATACAGTATATTTTGCTTAGCTGCACATCCTTCTTTGCCCGAAAAACTTGTGCACTTAACCAAAAAAGGCACTTAAGCGAGTTTTCTTTACTACTTCAATGAGGAAGGTATCCGAATCCCTATGAAAGCAAATAATGGAGGAGCACTTACCTCGTAGAAATTACTGCAAGCGAAATTTTTACCGAATGGTATTTAATTACCTATATAACTACATAAATTGATAGCCATTTTCGTTGTTCTGGGAGATGAGCAAAATAAATAAAAGGTTGTAAAATTAGGTAATTGTAGGGCTAGTGCAGGTAAACGTAATACTTTCTTTGATAATTGATACTAGTTGTACAATTGCACGCACTTAGGCATAGAGGCAGCAAAGCAAAATATACTGTACCGATTGTTGCAGATAGGCCCAACACTTCCTGTGACACTTACTTCCAGTGAACGCTCTTCTTAAGCTTAAATCATATTTACGAAGTAAAACTGGGGAACAAAGATTAGATGGTTTAGCTTTACTTAGAATCCACAGAAATAAAAAAGTTACGAATAAAGAAATAATGATTACAATATTTTCTTTTAAGTCGAAGCAGTAGAGAAATGATATTTCAAACTTTTTCATGCATACATATGTAATAAACTCGAATTTATAGAAAAAAATTAAAATACAGACATTTTAGACCACCGAAACGCATATTTGGTGCAACTGATTAAATATAAAAAATAGAAATTTGAAAAAATAGGAAAATAGAGGTTTTCCAGCAATGTTTTCAACATATTAAAAAGCATGCAGATAAAATGCATACTAAAGCGCTTTGTCCAATTTGACCAGCAGTTATTAAAGATGACGCTTTTCCTATATTTTGTTAGACTATAAGTAAACATATCACTGGTTTACAGCAATAATGTTCTGTGGATGCCACTATCCAATTCCTCATACGCCACGTACACCTGAGTAACACGCCTAATCTAACTAAAATTGCCCAAATTATATATTTTTTTTTTTTTGTAAACCCAATAAAGTGATTTGTGCGAAAAAGTCTTGACCATCCAATTTGGGGTGGTCCACTTGAGAGATTTTCACTCATATAAAAGGGCATCCTCTTTTTCCATATCTACAATCGTGGATGAAGACGGAAGTGAGGACCCTCCGCCAAGAAAAGTGACAAAGTTACAGGCAGTCACCGAAATAACCTCGGCGTTTATGGAAGTAATGGATTAATGTTCAGAAACCGTACAAAACTTAGCTAGTATTCCTTGCGAACAAGAAAAAGAACGCGATTCAACATCACTTTTGTTTGAAAGCCGGGCAAAATAAATTTCTAAAGCCCAAGAAAATTTGCGCATTATTGAATGCAAAGTTGTTGCTTTAGTTTATAAAGAACTAAAAGAGTCCAGTGTTTAATTAATTAAAGACGCTACGTTTTTGTAATAAAAATGAGTTCTCCAAGTACAAATGGATGTGTAACATCTAATATTTATTGAATTAATATGTAACATTAACAATTAAAGCATAATATCTAATATGTATTGAATTACCAAAACTCAAAAATCCATATCCAACAAAAAACACCTCCGTGAAAATTTTAGCATATTTTAAAATGCAGAGGTACAGTGCAAAAAAATATTTTGCGAAAAAAATAATAGTTTTTGGTTTATTCAATTTTAAAAATTGAGAAATTTTGTATTTTTCAATATATTTTTTTGTTACATATATTTTTGTAGCACCCCTTTAAAACGAGTCCAAGATGTTTTTTGTAGCTATAATAGTTTTTGGGATATTCAAAAATTAACTTGAAAAACTGGAAAAATAGTGAAATTTTGATTTTCGCATAACTTTTTCAAAAATTTTTAAATTTTTTTCTGTTTCGGAACTTCATTATAGGTTGAAAAAAACCAAACTTCATCCAAATCGAAAGGGGTTGAGTCCAACCATTGGACGATTTGACACGGAATCACCCATATGTATAACGCTGTTATCGAAAAATATTCTTTTATCACAAAAAATAGTCAAACAAAACAACATCCAACAGTCGAATAATGGAATCGAGTATTCCGGATACCTATATGTTAATCTGGGATAGATCGAGAATACCATAAATTTCAGGGGTATTTGAAATGCAAACACAATATATATAGTATTTGGCCGAGTTTCTCCTCCAATTTGTGGCCTGCGCCTTGATGTTGCCGCACAAATGGCAGGGACCTAAAGTTTTACCCCGTCTCCGAGCGGCGATTGCATTTCTGTCGAGGGGCGACCGCTATTAGACAAACCTTTTTCTTTTCCTTTGTTTTTGATGTTAGTCGGAAACTGGGCTCGATCGCAGGCCCTGCAGAATGGTGGTATGCACTTCTAACCACTACTTCTCTATTACATCCCGATTTGTTGGTAACTTCTCGCCGAATAGGTTTTTCGATTCAAAACACCTTTTTACAGCTACTGAATATCGCTTTTACAGAAAACTTTATACGCTCAAAAAATGATTTTTGGGTAATAGATATTTGTATTAAGATAAGCAGGACAGAAACTCGCTCAACTACGTATTCGAAATTTTTCCCAACCGAGTTACAACCTATTAATTTAAATTTATTAAACCAATATTTTTCAATGGTCGAGCCATTTCCATACACAATACTTTAATTTAGGTCATGAACACTTAACTAAAAAATAAAAATGTAAGCTCCACACATGTATTAAAAACATTGTAACGTTTTTGTTTGTGAATAAAGCCTAACATGTTTTTAGCCAAGTCGTCATTTATGGCATATTTATGGTATTTCCAAAATTGGTGAAGGTATAAATAAAGATTGTTTTTTAAGGCCAAAACCTTTTACAGACCAATTATGGTCCTGAGCGAGCGCTTTCGGTGAACAAAATTATTTCCGCATCGCTTTGGGGTATATTTAAGATGCTGATTTCTGATATGTTATCCGTTTTGTCAGATTGGTTCTTGTGCGTGAATTATTGCGAATTTTGCTAAATTTTTGGTTGCTGGAATTCCATCAACATGGCAAAAATTTGCTTATGTGAACGAGCATGGAATTTGAGAACTCGCGTATATCGAACAGTTGTCATCATATAATCATGGGTACCCCTTCGTTTATAGCTACAAGTGTCCAAATTAAAAATACCTCCAAGGACTTTAAAATAGCAGGATATACTATTTAGGATTGCTCGTTACTCTTCTCCTACAAGAGCATACGATCTATATCTATATCTATATCTATATCTATATCTATATCTATATCTA